ACTGTGCTTCAGGAGTCGAGCCAATTGGCTTCACTTCTTATCCACATCTCTTTCCTACATTCTCTCTTAGACACTGGTCCTTTCTGTTTGCTTCTGTAGAATTCTGAACATGACTCCGATAGACTCATCTTTTTTTTTTTTTTTTTTTTGAGACAGAGCCTCCAAGTGTTCCCCTGGGTAGAGTGCTGTGGCATCAGAGCTCACAGCAACCTCCAACTCCTCGGCTCAAGCGAGTCTCCTGCCTCTGCCCACAGGCGCCTGCCACAATGCCTGGCTATTTTTTTGGTTGCAGCCATCATTGAGGGGGTGGGCTGGATTCGACCTGCCACTTTAGGTGTATGTGGCTGGCGCCTTAGCCACTTGAGCCACAGGTGCCGAGCCATTAAATAAATATTATTTTAACTATTTAACAAAGTATAACAAAGAACATTCATCCAAATGCGATATATATCAAATGTTCGCAAAATAGGGCCAACCAAAATAAGAACTCATGTAGATTATGGAATAAACACATTTTGCTAACTCTGCATTAATCTCAATGTCTTATAAATGTGTCATTGATAAGGAAGTTAACAGCTCTCTGCTGTTTTTTAAATTCAGGCCACTCATAAAATTGTTGAAGTTAGTATACTTGGATAATCCTCAACTAAATGTCAGGGAAGACATAGCAAATGCCTTCATCATAGTATAACAAGCTATTATGCAATAACCTGTGAATGCCTAATAAATGATTCAAATAGTATTATATAATAAGTAGCGTCAGTACTTACTTTAAGTTCTGAACAATTTTTTTTTTTCAGACAGTCTCATTTTGTCGCCTTTGGTAGAGTGCCATGGTGTCACAGCTCACAGCAACCTCAAACTCTTGGGCTCATGTGATATTCTTGCCTCAGCCTTCCAAGTAGCTGGGACTACAGGCGCCTGCCACAACACCTGGCTATTTTTTAGAGACAGGGTCTCACTCTTGCTCTGGCTGGTCTCGACCCTGTGAGACCATGGGAACTCAGGCAATCCACCCACCTCAGCTTCCGAGAGTGTTAGGATTACACTCCACCTCGCCTGGCCTCAAACAGCTCTTACCTAACTCATATTTAAGAAAAAAATGCAAGGAAGTGTTTAGCCATACTAAGTGATTCAACATTAAAAAAAATTTCTTATCACTTCATTTTCATGCATGTGGTAAGTTTAACTGAGGAACACCTGAGTTTGCAAAATGACCTTTAAACTACTGTTATGAGAATCAGAATTTTCTTTTTTTTTTTTCTTTCCAGTTTTGGCTGAGGCCAGGCTTAAACCCACCACCTCCAGTATATGGGGCCAGCACCCTACTCTCTGAGCCACAGGCACCACCCAGCAGAATTTTCTTAATACTGTATAATCAAACAAAATACAATTGGATTTCTGAGACAGAAGACTGCGTCTATTTTTCCAAGTTGTTGATTTGTCAAAAATAGCATCCATCCGGCTGGGTGCAGTGGCTTATGCCTATAATCCTAACACTTTGGAGGCCAAGGTGGGTGGATTGCCTGAGCTCCCATGTTCAAGACTAGCCTGAGTCAGAGAGAGATTCCATCTCTAAAAATAACCAGGCGTTGTGATGGGTGCCTGTCGTCCCACATACTTGGGAGTCTGAGGCAAGAGGATCACTTGCACCCAAGAGTTTAAGATTGCTGTGAACTATGATGCCACAGCACTCTACCAAGGGTGACCAAGTGAAACTCTTGTCTCAAAACAAACAAACAAAAAAATAGTGTCAATCTTATTCATTATTTCATTTGCTATCATTCTACTGCTTTAAAAAATGTTTGAAAACTATTTGATTTTGCCTTCAAACAAAGGTAAAACCAATTCCAGTGTTCAAAAAAAAATCTTTTAAAATACCTGTCTTAACTCTCTCCTTGTCAATAAGTCTACTTTACCCCCAAATCAAAAATTCACCTTACTGGCTGGGCACCTGTAGCTCAGCAGCTGGGGCCCCAGCCACATCCACCTGAGCTGGCGGGTTCCAATCCAGTCTTGGCCTGCTAAACAACAACAACTGCAACCAAAAAATGGCGGAGCTTTGTGGTGGGTGCCTCTAGTCCAGCTGCTTGGGAGGCTGAGGCAAGAGAATAATAGCTTAGGGCCCTGGAGTTTGAGGTTGCTGTGGACTGTGACACCAGAGCACTCTAGGCAGGGCAACATCATGAGACTTTGGCTCAAAAAAAAAAAAAAAAATCACCTTACTTCCTACAAAAACCCTATAATCACAATTTCTGTTTCAGCTTCAGTGAACAAATCAAGGTTCCTTGATCAAGTTCCACTTTTGTATAAGTTTTCTCCCAAACACTGTGCATTTAGACCTTTATGTCTCCTTTAGTTCTAAGGTGAAAGCCAATCTTTCCAGTAAATCTTCCAAGTTTCTAAAATCTTAATGAGAATCTTTCTTTCTTTTCTTTTCTTTCTTTTTTTTTTTTTTTTTAAGAGACAGAGTCTTACTTTATCGCCCTCGGTAGAGTGCCGTAACATCACAGCTCACAGCAACCTCCAACTCCTGGGCTTAGGCAATTCTCTTGCCTCTGCCTCCCGAGTAGCTGGGCTTAATGAGAATCTTTTATTCCGTGCTACTACAAAACCCTCTATTTCCCCCACCTCAGCACTCATCAACAAAGTAGAACCCAATTATCTTGATCTTCTTTGTTGCCCCAGCACCTGCCATGTAGTAGTAGCACAATGTTCGTTAATCAATTTAAAGAAGATATTAAATCATGTTCACTTCGTCAAAATTATAAAACATTAATGATAAGCTCTAATAATTATTCATTTTATGGACTAGGAAACCAAGGTAGAGAGAGTAAAATTAAGTTGTCCAAGGTTCCAAAACTGGTAAATCACAACAGAAAATACAACCTGCTTCTAAGAGCTATTTGCACTTGTACCACACCGCCTCCATTTACATTTCTGGTCCGACCTGACACAGCTCTGACTGGGCCAACTACATCGTTCAGAGTAACGAATTTCTAGAAAGATAATTTGACTTGTCCCTTTTCTCCATAATCTGTAAGGAAACGGGCTTCCGCGACAGTTTACAGATCTACTTAATACGGATTTGACGTTTTCGTAGGAAAAAAGACCCCACCGGTAAGTTGTCGAGCCTGACACCCTGTTCCAGAAGCTAAATCATAAAGGTGGAGGCGAAAATTACGCGCCTAGAGACCGACTGTAACGCCTTTCATTACATTTCTTCTCTCTCAACTTTTCAGTACTCCCCGCTTCCCGGTTCGCTTAACCAGTGCATATCCCAGAGCTCCTTCCCGCCTCGGACCCGAACCAGTCTCACTGCATGATCTCCTCGCTGACATCCAGGCCGAAAGTTTTCCGCAACTGCTCGGTGCACCAGTGCACCAGCGGATCCCCAGACGCCACCCCTGCCACCGCCATCTTCCCCAGCCGGAACCAGCTGGGCTATAAAAGCCCCACGTCCTGCGCGGGACTAGTTCCCTTCGCAACACCGACTTCCCTCACGCGGGTTCCGCCAGCCAGCTCCGCCCCGCGCGGTCGCACCGCCTCCAGTGCAGATCCCGCCCACCTGTGCCGTCTCCTACTGCTTCCCGCTTCCTTGTCTGTATACGCTCGTATCCAGTACCACTCGTTGTGATTCTACTACTTGGTTCAACGTAGGACTCGAGGAAGGTTATTGACTTTTCTCCTGAAAATACCGTGCAAATAAAAACTACAGTTTAGGGGAGAAAAACCAACACCCGGAAATACGAGGGACCAGCTTTCTTCCCTCCCCACCTTTCACAATTTTTTCCAACACTAGCACAGTTTTAACTGGGCGTGGTGGTGCGCGCCTGTAATCCCAGCTACTCCGGACCATTTGAGCCGGAGTGTTGGAGGTTGCAGTGAGCTGTGGATCATGCCATTGTATTCCAGTATGGGGTGGCAAAGGAAGAACTGTCTGACAAAGGGTTATGACAACAAAAAAGAAAGGGTTAAAGAAAAAAAAAAAGAGGGGGGCTGGGTGTGATGGCTTACACTTGTAACCCCAGCACTTAGCAGGCTGAAGCAGGTGGATTGCCTGAGCTCACATGTTCGAGACCAGCCTGAGCCAGAACTAGACCCTCGTCTCTAAAAATAGCCGGGCGTTGTGGCGGGCGATTGTAGTCCCAGCTACGTGGGAGGCTGAGGCAAGCGTATCACTTGAACCAAGAGTTTGAGGTTGCCGTGAGCTAAGACGCCACAGCACCCTACCAAGGGTGACAAAGTGAGACTGACTAATAAAGGGGGGGGGGGGGGGGCGGTGGCGCCTGTAGCTCAGCGGCTAGGGCACTGGCCACATATACCAGAGCTGGCGGGTTCAAATCCCACCTGGGCCTGCCAAACAATGACTACTACAACCAAAAAACAGCCAGACGTTGTGGCGGGCGCCTGTAGTCCCAGCCACTTGGGAGGCTGAGGCAAGAGAATCGCTGAAGCCCAAGAGTTTGAGGTTGCTGTGAGCTGTGACGCCACAGCACTCTACCCAGGGGGACATAGTGAGACTGTCTCAAAAAAAAACAAAAGTGTATAAAGTGTGGAGACCAAGAGTGGGACCTCGCCTCTACTAAAAATGAAAAAAACTGAGGCAAGAAGATCGCTTGAACACAAGAGTTTGAGGTTGCTGTGAGCTATGACGACATAGCACTCTACCCAGGGCGACAAAGTGAGACCCTTTCTAAAAAAGAAAAAGGCCAGCTTTTTAAATTATGGGATTTTTTTGTCTGTTTGTTTGCTTTTTGCAGTTTTTGGATGAGGCCAGGTTTGAACCCATTACCTCCAGTATATGGGGCCGGCACCCTACTCCTTTGAGTCACAGGTGCCGCCCTAAATCATGGTTTTATGTACAATAAAACAGCAGTAGTAAGAGCTAGAAGTTTGTGTTCTGGTCGTGGTGGTTGTTATATTCTCCTTAGTCAAATAATAAATTCACACAGCTAAAACTTCTACTGTTTCAACAAGGGCTTCTCTGGGAGAACTAAGACAAGAAGCTCAAGGCGGGGGTGGGGGGCAGTGGAGTGGGGGAAGTAATACTCAACCCAGAATGACCAGACTTAAGGGTCTTCTGTAATTCCCTAACTCTGTGAGGACAATGAGCTGCGGAAAATTTAGCCAAACTTTTCTGAAGGGAAGATTTTTTTTTTTTTTTTGAGACAGAGCCTCAAGCTGTCACCCTGGGTAGAGCACCATGGCATCACAGCTCACAGAAACCTCCAACTCCTGGGCTCAAGCGTGTCTACTGCCTCAGCCTCCCAAGTAGCTGGAACCACAGGCGCCCGCCACAATGCCCGGCTATTTTTTGGTTGCAGCCATCATTGCTGTTTGGTGGGCCCGGGCTGGATTCCAACCCACCACCTTAGGTGTATGTGGCTGGTGCCTTAGCCACTTGAGCCACAGGCGCCCAGCCTGAAGGGCAGAATATTACTTTTTGTTACTTTTACAAGTTAAAAGTTTTTCATTCCTGGGTGGCACCTGTGGCTCAAAGGAGTAGGACGCTGGCCCCATATATCAGAGGTGGTGGGTTCAAACCCATCCCTGGCCAAAAAAAAAAGGTTTCCATTCCTATTAGGCCATTTAAACTGTGATTAAATTGATGCTGTTTCATATTTTCATGTTAATATTTTTATTGGCATAAATAATTAAAATCATCTAAGTGTTACTGATTTATATTGAGTTCAGATTGTCTTTGTTATTAATTTGGAAAATGTATGATTTCCCATTTTTTCTTTTTTTGTTTGATTTTTGTTTTTCTGGTTTTTCCCCATTGTTTTTTTTATTATTATTATTCTTATTTTGTAGAGACAGAGTCTCACTTTATCACCCTCAGTAGAGTGCCATGGCATCACACAGCTAATAGCAACCTCCAACTCTGGGGTTAGGCGATTCTCTTGCCTCACCCGCCAGAGTATCTGAGACTACAGGCCCCCATCACAATGGCTGGCTATTTTTTTTGCTGCAATTTGGCTAGGGCCAGGTTTGAACCTGCTGCCCTCAGTATATGGTGCCAGCACCCTACCCACTGAGCCATAGGCACTGCCCTTTTTCCCCATTTTTTTAAAAATCCTGTCTATATTCATTATTAGGCACAAGTTTTATCTCTTCATAAAAATCTGCTATATTTAATAATATTCAGATTGTATGCAAATAATTTATCTGTCATCTATTTATTCAGTCCTGGCATTAAGGTTCTCTAGAGAGACAGAATCAATAGGATAGACAGATAGATTAGTGGATTTATAGGGGAATTGGCTCTTGAAATTAGGGAGGCTGAGAAGTCTTATCACTGGCATCTGTAAGCTGGATACTCTGGGATGCTCCAGCAAGGCTCCATCCAAATCTGAAAGTCTTGGAATCAGGGAAGCCTTTGGTGTAACTGTCAGTCTCAAGGCCTTAAAGCCTGGAATTCTGATGTACAATAGCAGGAGGCAGACCTTCAGAGAGGAAGCTTTTCTCTTCTTTTCTGGTATATCCAGGTTGCCAACAGATGGGATAGTGCTGTGCTTATACTGAGACTAGATCTGCCCCACTCAGTCTACTGATTATATGCCAATCTCTTCTGGACATTCTCTTACAGACATACCCAGGAGTAATGCCTTACCAGTTCTCTAGGGATTCTTTAATATAGTCAAGGTGATACCTAACATTAACAATAATAGTCCCTAAAACTAACATATTAACTTCTTGAAACATGGAGTATGGCTTAAGTTTTTTTGTACAGTTGACTTGGTACATCATACAAATTATGAGGAAATGAGTATGTGCTCAAGAATAACATAGGCAGGCCAGGAAGGGTGGCTCATGCTTGTAATCCCAGGGCTTTGGAAGTCTAGGGTGAGAGGATCGCTTGAGGCCAAGAGTTCAAAACAACATTTAGAGACCTTATTGCTACCCAAAACTTAAAAATTAGCTGGGCCTTGTGAATTGCGACTGAAGTCTCAGCTACTTGGGAATTTGAGATAGGAAGATTCCTTGAGCCCAAGAGTTTGAGGTTACAGTGAGCTGTGATCACACCACTGCACTCCATCCTGGGCAAAGAGCAAAACCCTGCCTCTGAAAAAAAAAAAAAAGAATAACAGGTGTTCATCTTAGTGCCTGTAGCTCAAGCTGCTAGGGCGCCAGCCTCATGCACTGGAGCTGACGGGTCGAACCTAGCCTGGCCTGCCAAACAATAATGACAGCTACAGCTTAAGAAAAAAAAAAAAAAAATAGGCAGCGCCTGTGGCTCAAAGGACTAGGGTGCTGGCCCTATATGCCAGAGGTGGCGGGTTCAAACCCAGCCTTGGCCCAAAACTACAAAAAAAAAAAAATACCCCAGCATTGTGGTGGGTGCCTGTAGTCTCAGCTACTTGTGGGGTGGAGAGGCAGGAGAATCGCTTAAGCCCAAGAGTTTCAAGTTGCTGTGAGCTGTGATACTAAGGGCACATAGTGAGACTCTGTCTCAAAAAAAAAAAAAAAAAGAATAACAGGTACTGTTTTTTCCTACAGCATATGTTAATTCCTATGATCTCTAGTTTGTAAAGTACAGTGTATAATGCCATTTATAATCATTATCATTTATTTATTTACTTGAGACAGAGTCTCAGTTTGTCACCCTCGGTAGAGTGCTGTGGTGTCATAGCTCACAGCAACCTCAAACTCTTGGACTCAAGTGATCCTCTGGCCTGCCGAAGAGCTGGGACTACACATGTTGGCCACAATGCTCAGCTATTTTTAGAGACAGGGTCTTCCTCTGGCTCAGGCTGATCTTAAACCTATGAGCTCAATGCAATACACCCACCTCAGCCTCCCAGAGTGCTACGATTATGGATGTGACTCACTGCAACCAGCCACAATCATTATCATTTATTAAATTACATTTCTAAGGCTGGGCCCAATGGCTTACGCTTGTAATCCCAGCACTTTGGGAGTCTGAGGCAGGAGAAGTGCTTGAGGTCAGGAGTTCAAGACCAGCTTTAAAAATAGCAATACCTTGTCACTACAAAAAATAGAAAAATTAATTGAGTATGATGGTGTGCACCTGTAGTTCCAGCTACTTAGGAGCTGGAGGCAGGAAGATCTTTCAAACCTAGGAATTTGAAGTTTGCAGTACGGTATGATGACACCACTGAACTCTAGCTAGAGCAACAGCGTAAGACCCTGTCTCCAAATATAAAGTAAAGTAGGCTCGGTGCCTGTAGGGCAGTGGTTGTGGTGTCTGCCACATACACCGAGGCTGGGGGGTTTGAACCTGGCCCGGGGAGCTAAACAACAATGACAACTGCAACAATAGCCAGGTGTTGTGGCAGGCGCCTGTAGTCCCAGCTACTTGGGAGGCTGAGGAAAGAGAATCGCTTGAGCCCAAGAGATCAAGGTTGCTGTGAGTTGTGATGCCACACACTCTACTGAGGGCAACATAGTGAGATTCTGTCTCAAAAAAAAAAAATAAAGTAAATAAAATAACATTTCTGGCTTGGTGGCCTAGCCCAGTGGTTAGGGTGCTAGCCACATACACCAGGGCTGGTGGGTTTGAACCCAGCCCAGGCCTGCTAAACAAAACAAAACAAAACAGGAACATAGCCAGGCATTGTGGTGGGCACTGGTAGTCCCAGCTACTTGGGAAGCTGAGGCAAGAGAATCGCTTGAGCCCAAGAGTTTGAAGTTGCTGTGAACTGTGATGCAATGGCACTCTATGGAGGGCGGCATAGTGAGACTGTTTCAAAAAAAAAAATTACGTATTTCTGCCTGAACAACGCAAACACACTCATTTAACATGACTTAAAGATATTCTTTGACATAAATTTAGGTAGAAATATCACCCATACAGACTGCAACTTCTCTTAATGCCTTGGGCCTTAGAAATTTTCAGATTCACACCACACAGCTCTCTGGTTTCATTAAATTGTCAAGGAGAAGCACTTCTGCAAAGCACATTTTCTTTTTTTTTTTTTGAGACAGAGTTTCACTATATCGCCCTGGGTAGAGTGCCATAGCATCACAGCTCAAAGCTACCTCCACGTCTTTGAGCTTAAATGATTCTCTTGCCTCAGCCTCCCAAGTAGCTGGGACTACAGGCACCCGGCACAATGCCTGGCAATTTTTTGGTTGTAGTTGTCATTGTTGTTTGGCATGCCCGGGCTGGATTCGAACCCACCAGCTCTGGTTTATGTGGCTGGAGCCCTAGCTATTGAGCTACAGGTGCCGAGCCAGCAAACATTTTTTTTAAACATTTCATTTAAGAATTTTTTACTAGATTACCCATCATATTGGATTAGAAGGGACAAAATAATTTTTACTAGGCATAACTACTTTTTTCCTAACTTGCATCCTTCATTTTGATCACTGGCATTGAAAAGACAAACATACAAACAAAAACAAACATTACAACTATAGTAATATGTAGACGGCGCCTGTGTAAAAATGTATATTTGCAATTCTTGCTGGCAATTTACTTGGCAGGTGGGTTAAAAGAAGACTTGGAGATTCTACTTCAGGAATTGGAGATGTGACTTCATATTAAGTAATTTAGATCTACGTGGAAGCCACTTTAACTAGAAAGGAAATATTGACATTTAAAAACCACTGTGGGTGCAGTAGCTCATAGCTGCAATCCCAGCACTTTGGGAGGCCAAGGTGGGAAGATTGCTTAAGCCCAGGGATTGGAGACCAGCACTACAAAAATAACCCCCCATCTTCCCCCCCAAACACCCAAATTAGCTGAGTGTGGTGGTGTACGTACATAGTCCTAGGCACTTGGGAGGCTGAGTCAGTAAGATCAATTAATAAAGACCCTCTCTTTAGAAAAAGAGAGAGAGAACTATTGTACATAGAGACCAGGCGTGAGAACAAAGAACAAAGGAATACCCTGGGGCTTTTTGACTTTTTCCAGTTGATTTGGCTGTAATCTTAGACTCTAAGTTTAGATAAAACTACTGGTAATTGCCAATACATTTCCTACTATTATTATGTTAATTTAACCTGTTGCCTAGATCCTTTAATTCTATAACAAAGTGTGTGCAGTTGTTCAGTCTATTAAAGTATTAAGTAATCTATTTTTTACTTTTTATTTATTTATTTTTTGCAGTTTTTGGTCAGGGCCAGGTTTGAACCCACCACCCTCGTTATATGGGGCCGGCGCCCTACTCCTTGAGGCACCCATATTAGCCTATTTTTATAAAGTTTAAGCGTAACTGTTTAGAGAGAATCAATACTATCTTTACACTTCCAGGGCTGCCTTCCAAGAGAGCGTTTAGCAAAATACATCCTAAAAGCATTGAACAGCCTTGTAAATAAGTTGCATTACCTTATTTTCCCCCATTCCATAGAATTGAATTGTTCCAATACGGATGCTGTACAAGTTCAAAGCCTGAGGCATTGAAGGAAAGTGGTCAAGTTCACTTTATTTTGATTTGCATCAGAAAGTTCGGTTAATTTCAGGTTTCACTTCAACAGGTCAATCTTTGTGGATGTAATCCTAAAGACTCTTTTGAAGGAGAGTTGTAATTCGGCATGTTTTCCGGGTTTTCTAAGTCTACCCCTTTCTCTTATTCAGTCTCAGCACCTACGCACGGTTACCCGTGGAAAGCGTCTTGGCACTGCCCATCTGGGGCGGGTACGAATCGCTGGAGTCTGCGGGTTGATGGATGGGTTTGTGCTACCTCAGGCCTTGCGGCTGTCAACCCTGGACACAGGGGATTGGTTGGCGGGGGAACGGCGCGGAACCAATGGGAACGGCGGCACGGGAGAGCCCGTGGAGCGCGCGGGAAAGAGAACAATATAAACTGTGGCGGGATTTTAGTTTTCACATCCTTGTCCAGTGAATCGCGCTCGGTTGAGAATAGTTCGTTATTCTCGGCTTCTCCCCTTTGAACATGGTGCGGACTAAAGCAGACAGTGTCCCAGGCACCTACAGAAAAGGTGAGGCTATTGAGTGAGGGAGTGGAGGGCAGGGTTTTTTTCCTGGCAGCCCGTCCACAAGTAGGAGATGCTCGGGTTCCCCGGGGCCCTGTGAGCCCAACTGCGCCTAGGCAGGAAGCAGCCGCCCGACCCCTTTACCTTCTGGAGGAAGCGACGAGGGCAGGGGAAGGTTAGCCTGTTCTGAAACCTCTGGGCTTGGGACTATGATTGGAACGTGGCTCTTGTGACTCGATGTCCGAACCTTCCCTCCTCTAAACACCCTCCTTTGCCTCTCTTCGCAGTGGTGGCTTCTCGAGCCCCCAGGAAGGTGCTTGGTTCCTCCACTTCTGCCACTAATTCTGCGTCGCCTTCATCAAGGAAGGGTAAGAAAAGCCCCTGCAAGTTTCTGGAGTAAGAGACACCTTCCTAAAAGGGTATAAAGCCTGGCATCTGGAGCCTCTAACCTGCCATGAAATTTATTTTTCTTGAGATTTTCACTCCCTAACTCCTTCCTTGCCATGATATAATGAGGGGGACTTGAGCCTTTTGGCGGGCTGGGGAAGAGGTGGGGTCTTAAGAAAGAGAAATCCCAAGCCTTGGTGTTACGATTAGACACAGACACAGTTTATTTTCAAATGTAGTTTTCTTTTTCGGGTTAGTGTTTTTTGTTTTTCTTACTATTGACAGTTGGCTTTTTCTTGTTGGACGCCGTGTAAGAGCATTCTGACTAGATCAAGAATTAGGACCGGGCCAGGTGCAGTGGCTCAGGCTTGTAATCCTAGCACTCTGGGAGACAGAGACAGGTCGATTGCTTGAGCTCAGGAGTTCAAGACCAGCCTGAGCAAGAGTGAGACCCACATCTCTACTAAAAATAGACAAAACTAACTGGGTGTTATGGCAGGTGCCTATATAGGGTAGTCCCAGTTACTTGGGAGGTGAAGGAAGAGGATTGCTTGAGCCTAAGAGTTTAAGGTTGCTGTGAGCCATGATAATGCCAGGGCACTGTACCAGAAAGAATGAGAATGAAATAAACAGAATCAGGATGATGGCAGACAGTGCTAATCACACTGTCTTCTAAACAGTGTAAACGTTTTCCTGTTTTTTTTACTGCATGTTTTTTCTTTCTGTTTTCATTTCTTACTCTTTTTTTAACACCTGGAATTTATGTTGATTTTTAATTATTTATTTATTTTTGAGACAAAGTCTCAGGTTGTTGCCCTGGGTAGAGTATTGGGGTGTCCTAGCTCACAGCAACCTCAAACTCTTGGGCTCAAGCAGATCCTCTTGCCTCAGCCTCCCAAGTAGCTGGGACTACAGGCACTCATCACAACACCCAGCTAATTTTTCTATTTTTTTTTCCTTGTAGTTTTTGGCTGGGGCTGGGTTTGAACCTGCCACCTCTGCATATGGGGCCGGCGCCCTACCCCTTTGAGCCACAGGCGCTGCCCCCAAGTTTTCTATTTTTTATAGAGATGGGGTCTCACTTTGCTCAAGCTGGTCTCTAACTCCTGAGTTCAGGTGATCCACTCCCCTCAGCTTCCCAGAGTGCTAGGATTATAGAGATGAGGCACCCAGCCCCCCAGCTAGTTTTTCTTTCTCTTCTTTTTTTTTTTTTTTTTTGAGACAGAGTCTTCCTTTGTCAGCCTTGCTAGAGTGCTGTGGTGTCAAAGCTCACAGCAGCCTCAAACTCTTGGGCTTAAATGATTTTCTTGCCTCAGCCTCCTGAGTACCTGGGACTACAGGCACCCGCCACAATGCCTGGCTACTTTTAGAGACGGGGATCTCACTCTTTCTCAGGCTGGTCTTGAACCCTTGAGCTCAGAGAAACCACTTGCCTCAGCCTCCCAGAATGCTAGGATTAATAGGCACAACCCAATGTTCGTGGCCATTTTTTGGGATTTTTTTTTTTTTTTTGAGACAGAGTCTCACTATGTCATTCTTGTTAGAGTGCCAGGCGTCACACCTCACAGCAGCCTCCAACTCTTGGGCTTAAGTGATTCTCTTGCCTCAGCCTCCCAAGTAGCTCGGACTATAGGTGTCTGCCACAACGCCTGGCTATTTTTTGTTGTTGTTGTAGCAATGGTCATTGTTGTTTAGCTGGCCCAGGCCAGGTTCAAACCTGCCAGCCCTAGTGCTTATGGCCGGCACTGTACCCACTGAGCTACGGGCACTGCCTTTTTTTTTTTTTTTTCTTCTTTTTTTTGATTTTTTAGACAGAATCTCATTCTGTCACTCTGGATAGAGTGATATGGCATCATAGCTCACACCAACCTCAAATTCTTGGGCTCAAGTGATCCTCTTGCCTCAGCCTCTCAGGTAGCTGGGACAATAGGTGCCGGCCACAATACCCCGCTATTTTTAGAGACAGGATCTCGCTCTGGCTCAGACTGGTCTTGAACACCTGAGCTCAGGTGATTCACCTGTTGGCCTCTCAGAGCTCTAGGATAACAGTTGTAAGCCTCTGTGCCAGACCCCAGATCTCTGTTTTTAATCACAATAATCACTGTATAAAACTGATAATATCAGCTCAGCACCTGTAGCACAGTGGTTATGACACCAGCCACATACACTGAGGCTGGCGGGTTCAAACCTAGCCGGGCCAGCTAAACAACAATGACAACTACAACAAAAAATAGCTGGGGGTTGTGTCTGGCGCCTGTAGTCCCAGCTACTTGGGAGGCTGAGGCAAGAGAATCACTTAAGCCCAAGAGTTTGAGGTTGCTGTGAGCTGTGATGCCATAGCA